TGTTCTCCCGCCCTGGCGGGGGGTCAGGCTAGAAGATCTACTAGGTCCCTTCCAACCCTTAATCTATGAATCTATGACCTACATACAGTGCCCAGGGCATGTGGTGCTTGCTGGGGCCGGACCCAGGATGCACCACATGCAGTGCTCACTGGGGACAAATTCTTGGTTACATTACTCACTGGGGCTGATCCCAGGTCATGCCATCTGCAGTGTTCACTAGGGCTGGATTGTAGACTGTGCTGCCCACTGGGGCCAGTCCTGGGCTGTGCTGACTGCAGTGCTTGCTGAGATCTAGGCCTGGGGCTGCACCAACTACACCACTTGCTCAGGCCAGACCACAGGCTGCACCAACTGGGCATCTTCCTGGAGACAGCTCCTGGGCTGCACCACCCACACAGCCCACTTGGGCTGGCATCCCAGACGGGTAAGTTCCACATACACTGGGTCAGGCATGTGGGGGGCAGGAGGAGAAAGGCATGGGCCTGGTCTAGCCCACGGACCAGCCCTACACCATTCATCTAGCCCTCGGGGCCAGCTGAGTTTGACACCCCTGCTGTAGGGGATGCAAACCTATAGTCAGCCATTCACAGATCATTTCAGATACTTTTTTACATTGTTAGAAAAAGCAAACAGGTAAACAATATATTTCATATTCTTTTCGATTTAAGAGAATAAATGGAAGTTTTCCAAACTGCTCAATGCATTGTTTCCATGGAACTCTCAAGTGTTAGGAAGAGTGGGAACTGATGTACACAGAGCCCAGAATGTTATGCTTAATAATGTACGTGATTATTCATTTTCCAAACTGCATCCACTAAAGCAGCCATCCCTCTACTCATGGATGTTAAACCCACATTAGTGAGCAAGTCATATTCCCTGCTTTGCAGGTACTTTCAGGCCACATCCTAAATTTTTCACCAAATTCGTTATTAACTCAGTAAGCTCAGTCTATGTTTGTGACAAGCCTATGTTTTCAGCATAGACCATTTTTTAAATTTTTGGTTGTATAAAAAATTGTTACAAACAAGTATCCAAATGTGTGAAAAAATCAGTTTGTTTTGAAAAAGTATTTGCTACAGAGCTTATTAGGAAAATGAAGAGAATGTAAGGTGAATTTAAAGCAAAACAAAAAAATATTTTGCACAAATTAACGTCTTACATACTGCTAGTACTGTTCCTGGACACCTGGCACCTCTTGGCTGCAATTATTTCCTGTATGTTTAGTCCTAACAACAGTTGCAGAGCCACTTTCAGGACGACATTCAAGTGCTTTTCACTGCGTCTTGAGCACAGCTTTGATTGTTAATGTCCATACATGAGAAGATCTGTATGCATGCGCATTTTCTTGTGAACATGGAAAACACCCTTGATGTGAAGGATTTTATTGCTGGATAGTTTTCTCCCAGGTTTGTGAATCCTAACTTTTGAGAATTTATTTTTCGGTGTAGTGTTCCAATGAAGATCTCTGAGTTCCACTTGCAGCTACTGATGGGCATATTCTGGACAAACAGGGAATGGGGTGCTGAAAAGTCTTAATTCTGCTTCGTGGCTCCAAAAATCAGAGAACCTGTTCTGGAATTTGTGCCTGTTCTGGAATTTGTGCCTGAAATATTGACCACATATTTCTCCAGGCCCTTACCACCTTCAATCCCAGTGGCAAGTAGCAGTGGATTCAAGGTGGAAAAATGTTCTACACTGCACAGAGCTATTTGTCCCAATGAGAGGTTCATTTCAAAGGCATAAAACACAGTCATAAGCTAGTTCTGACCATGCATTTTTGAGTTTAGAGTACTGTGATGCCTGACTGTGTTCATCAAGAAGGCAAGATCCTGTAATAATTCTTCATCTTGAAGTTCAGCTGCAGGTTTCTCTTTCTTTCTCATAAATACTTCAATCTTACGTCACTGTTTAAGGAAGCACATTAAGACAGCCCTACAATTCAGTGAGTGCGCTTCAGCATAATACAGCAGTCCATGCTGAAAGTAACCTTTCTTCAATGGCTAACAGCCCTGTGAGCCATACTCAGAGTTTTGGCAGAGAGAGCTTCCTGATGTGGAATTCAATGAAAAACACAGAACTCATGGTCTAGAACAGGGGTAGGCAAAATGCGTTCTGGGGGCCAGATGTGGCCTGCCAGGCCATTCTATCCGGCCTGCAGGGCCCCTAAAAAATTTAGAAAATTAATATTAATCTGCCCTGGGCTGCTTGTCATGTGGACCTCAGCGGCTTGCGAAAACTCAGTAAGCAGCCCTCTGCCCAAAATTACTGCCCGCCCCGGTCTAGATACTCTGCCCCTTACTCTTGAGTTTTCCCCCAAATCCTGTGTTACTTCCCAACATGGAACAAGTCCTGCCTGTTGCAACACTCAGTTCCCTTCTCCAGTCCACATCTAATTTGTCCAAAGCTGTGGTCATCTGTTGAAAAGGTCCTTTCCTTTAGTTGGTGCTAACTTCAAAAACCCATCTGTCACATTCATTTCTTGATTGACAACCTGAACAAACACAACTAGCTGTGCAAAATCATTCACATTTTTGCTTTCTTCAATAGCTAGTGAAAAAGAAGCACATGCCTTTTCCAAAATCAGATTTTGTTGTCTGCTATGTTTCCTGAGAGGCTCCTTTTTGCATAAATTTGTCACTTCTGTGGGCACACAATGTCTGCAGCCTTCATCATTTCTTTCTTTAGGAACTCCACCTCAGCAAAAGGGCTTTGAAACAGCAGCTGCTTCTTGGAAAAGGACACAGCTAACAATCACTATTCCAACACTTACTTGTAGGATGTGCCTGTGTGAAAATGGATTGTTGCTTTTTCAAAGACCATTTTAATTCACTCAGTTTGTCTCCACACAACTTCCCTGTAGATTTGTCATACTTGATGCCATGACATAACTTAGAATATCTCCTAACATTGTGTTCTTTGCTTACATGTAAGAACATAAGAACATAAAAAGTGCCACACCGGGTCAAACCAATGGTCCATCTCACCCAGAATCCTGTCTCCAACAGTGGCAGAAGTGGATGGTTCAGAGCAGTGGTTCTCAATCTTTTTAGATCTAAGGCACCCCTGGGTCTTGGAAACTTACTTGGAATGACCTGGAAAATGCCAGCTGTTAGTTCTCTCTCTTTTTTTTATTATATAAAAATAATATAGCAGTTCTTTTGTTGCAAAAAACTCTGGAAGACTACAACTAACAATGATGTGGACATTGGTGTCAGAAGCACGCTGGCTAACCTCACCAATGACACTAAACTTTGGGGCATAGCGTCCACACCTGAGGACAGGCTAGTGACCCAGGCTGACTTGGATAAACTTAGTAAGTGGGCAGATACAAATCTGATGACGTTCAATATTGATAAATGTAAGGTACTCCATCTCAGGGAAAAAACCTCCACAGCATGCTTATAGGCCCACCAGTGGTACACTTGCTAGCACCATGGCCAAAAGAGACTTAGGGGTCATGACTGACCACAAGATGAACATGAGCCACCAATGCGATGTTGCAGCTGGCAAAGCAAACCAAACTCTGGCTTGCATCCATAGATGTTTCTTAAGTAAATCTCAGGATGTCATCCTCCCGCTGTACTCGGCCTTGGTGAGGCCGCAGCTGGAGTGCTGCATCCAATTCTGGGCTCCACAATTCAAGAAGGATGTCAAGAAGCTTGAGAGAGCCCAGAGGAGAGCCACGCACAAGATCAGAGGGCAGGATCAGAGGACAGGCCTTATGAAGAGGCTGAGAGCCATGGGACTCTTCAGCCTGGAAAGGCACAGGCTCAGGGAGGACCTGGTGGCTGCTCATAAGTATATAAGGGGGTACATCAAGATCTGAGAGAACGTCTGTTCACCAGAGCACCCCAAGGAAAAACAAGGACCAATAAACTCCTCTAAGACTGTTTTAGGCTGGACTTAAGGAAAAATTTCTTTACTGTTCGAACCCCCAAGACCTGGAATAGACTCCCTCCAGAAGTGGTGCAGGCACCTACTCTGGACTCATTCAAGAAACACTTGGATGCTTATCTTGCTGGGATCCTATGACCCCAGCTGACTTCCTGCCCCTGGGGCAGTGAGCTGGCCTTGATGATCTTTGAGGTCCCTTCCAGCCCTAACATCTACGAAATCTATGAAACTATTGATTTCTATTAAAATCTCTGGATTTATCTTGTGAATCATGTTTACACACCTAACAGTGCAAACATTGTGTGGCACACCCCCAGCCCCCTCAAAAGAATCTCCAGGCACCCCAGGGTGGCATTATCTCCTGGTTGGAATCAGTGATATAGAGGGAGACTGTTGCACTGGCTATATCTAAAGTGATCCATCCCTGATTCACTTGTATCGGTTTAGCAATGCCAGAGAAAACATCTCCAACAGTTCTCTTTGAAAGCTTTTAATATGTCTATCATCCATGGATTTGTCATCATCCATGAATTTGTCTAGATATCAAACACACAGGCTTTCCATTCACTTCTGTGAAGAAGCATGAGCCTCCATTTCCATTGAAACACACAGCACCCTTTTCTCTTGACAAAAATTATATCTGGCTTATAGTTAACACACATATACTGTATGTGTGTGCGTGTGTGTGTGTATATATATATGATTTGTGCAAGAGATGATTATTATTATTATGTTACAAACATGGGCATAAGGCTCGTAAACAACAACACCACTGTTGTTTTCTCAAATTCTTTTTATTCCAACCTCCGTGTTGCACAGTATTGCTTTACACAGGCAATTCTCAACCCTTTGGTGGCCACCACTGCTTGTCAACAAGCCACTATATTCTGGGAAGAGAAAATACTGTAGAGGGAAAGAATGTCCACTACCGTCATTAAGACACCCATTTATTTCATCATTCTCATCCTCAGAATGTAACAAAAACTTGGCTAATTGACTGGAAACCATAAAACCCAGTAGAGGCAGACAAAGTAGACATCTGTCATGGCACAAACCACCACAATAAAACTACAATGAAAAATCTCCAAGAATTTTTTAATTAAAAATACTGGAACAGGCACTGTATCTCATACAGCATCTCAGATTTTCAGTGCCAAATTCCATCTGCTCACTTTGTACCAGAGAACAGAATCTTCTTTTTTGCAATATGGTATCTCTTACCTTCATCTCAATAACAGTTTGCAGAGCTTTTGTCTTGGCAGAGTCCGGAGCATTTTCAAACCGACGATGTATCTCCTGCACCAAAAGAAAACAAGCAAAGAGTTAACACCAAGCCAAGTTATTGTAGCCTTCTAATAAAACAGAATAGTACCTCTGCCTTCTGATGCAGCCATCGTCTGAATTTTGTTTAGTGTGATCTAACATATTAGAGAAATGACAGGCTACAGCCTACTGGACAGAACATGAGCTCATTTACAAACATACAGAAAACCTGATCTTTGAACACCTACCAATCCACAGCAAACTGTTCAGTTGATACAATTGAAGCCAATCAAAATTCCTGCTACCTGGCCAGTGAGCAAGCCATCGAATGTTTAAAGGTAACTCAGTTCTTGTGAAGCATAGAAATATTTTATGTTTGGGAGGATTAATTTAAAAAAACCACAACAATAATCTATTCTGTGTTTAACAAGCTATTGGGAGCATCTGTGCTGATAAAGCTGCTTCGCACATTTTCTACCCCAGAGTAGCAACAACTTGGTTACCTGGGATGAAAACCTGCCTCCACAGAGGCTGCAAGGGTGGCTGAAAAAACATGAAGGGATGGTTAAGGTGCTCCAGAGGTTTACAGTATGCCATGGGGAGGATGACAAATGCCTGTGTGATATTTCTGTAGCTATGAAAAGGGCATGTAGTCATTCTGCTAGCATGCTCCAGGGAGCTGCCTATAGAATATAAAATGGCAAAGAGATGAACTGCTCTAAGCCCTTTCCAAACTGCTACAGGATAAAAAAAAAACAATTAGGGGGAAAAGCAGATCTTGACTAGTGTGTTTTCTCTATACTGATCTTGAAGAATGAATCATCCACAGGGTTCTGTGTTAAATGTAGGTACCGCTGTTGTGTCACACACTACAATATTAAATAAAATGAGAGAAACATAGACATCAAAACCCTTGGGAAATCCTATAGTTTACTGCATCTTTGTGCACACAATTAAAAATGAGATGTTAATTAACTTAATGAAGATATTTATAACCTTGAAAGAATGAAGAACATTTACTACATCAGAGAAAAAAATGTATTCAACCACATCTTCCACAAGGATGGTGATGAAAGATTTTACTTGCTGATAAAAAGCTTCCTTGCTAAATAAATGAACAAAATACATTTGCAAGATTGATTCATACTCTGCTTTCAAAAGACTGCAAACATTAATTAAATATGAGGTAGGTAACCAGCATTATAGTGCTGTTAGGGTAGAACGAAGCAGAACGGTGAAGTGATTTGACAAAGGCCACAATGGGAGTCTCTCAGAATACAGCCTAGCAGTCAAATGTGTCTCCCAGACTACTCGAGACTACTAGAGATTAGACTACCCTGACTCTCGACTCTTTACACCTGTTTACATAAGTTTAGTCCTGTGAACAGTAAAAAAGATGCATGCAGTTGGAAACAGATGCTATATTCAGAACCCAACTTCCAGTTTAGATTATTTTTTATTTGGAGAATGCTGGCAAGTTTATGCCAGAAAAACTCTCACAGTAAACACGGTACTTCCAGACATGAAATCAACAAGCCCATGTTCAATGTTTCAGTGAGGACAGAAGCTGAACAACAATATCAATCTAAATTCCAGAAACCTCTATTGAATGGCACCTAATAAAAGTTGTCTAAAACAAAAGACTGAAATCTACATCTTTAACAATACCCTCTGAAGTTGAAAGTCACCATTTTTTACAACCAGTTCATTTTTAATAGGGGACAAAGTGAACAGGCTTCCGCTGACCTCAGCATTAAAAATATGGTTGCTTCTCTCGGACTTTCCTAATTTAAAAATGTATGAAAAAAGGGAATAGCACTGAGGAGAATTCTTCACACTTGTGTGGACACCTTAATGGAAAGTATCCTGTTTTGAGTTATATAAATTTCCCCTAAATATAAAACTGACATGCTTAACTGCTCCTGGCACACAGTCTTTTTTTCCCCTAAAGTAATGCAAGGAAAAAGGCAGCAGCTCTTAACAAAAGAAAAATAAGCAATAAGAGAGAGAGAGAGTACGCACTGAAAGAAAGGGACTGCCAAAAAGATTCTGCCAAACATGTGTATTGTACAAGATATTATTTCTGTTTCAGTAGTTATCACTGTGTATTAGAAACTTCACTAATGTGCAAAGAGTCCCTTCCCTGAAGCTGCAAAACTAGAAAAACCCCACCATAGTGACAGAGAGAGAGAGATGACGGAATACACACAGGACATCTCGCAGAGAATTCCCGCACTATTCTTGCTCATTAAGAGGCACAAAACTTTCCATTATAAAATCTTTTTGCAACTCTTTTTGAGAAGCCCATTTGCAGCAAAGTTTTGTTTTTTAGCAAAGATAATGCCCTACATTTACAGAGATGCATTTTGCCCATCCTATATCATTCCATTCTGACTTGGATAACTTATAAGCCAAATAACTGTATCCCATCTCTGCATTGTGTGATTAGTGCTTAATTCTGACAGCATGCCAAAAACCATAACGAGTCTAAAGCCAAGGCTCTCTTCCCATGCGGCAGCATCTATCTCACTAAGCACCTTAGGAAGAAAATGCTTAGTCCCACTGCTGCTTAGCAAAATAGAAAGACAGAATCTGGAAGGCACCCACCCCTTTGGCAATAGTACCATAGTGCAGGACAACAAAATCCCTAGAAAAACAATATTTTTTGTTATTAAGTATTATGAATTATCAGTGTAAAATACTATAAAATACAGCAACTAATAATAATAACAATAATAGACAAAAACAGGAGTTTTACATGCACTTCTGAACTATTTCAGGTTACACAAGCAGGTAGCAGATCACAGCTCTATTATATCACACTTAAATACAAAGGGGTTAGCTAAATTGTCTCTCAGTGAAGACCTGTTATACCTTTGTCCTTGAAAACGCCATCTGTAAAATGGGGATGACATGGATATTACACTATTCTCAGCATGTTATGAATACTTTCTACAGCTACTTCATGGAACATAAATGGTTGTACATAAACTGGCAGGAGGAGAAGAAAAATCTTTTAGCTCAAGCAGCAGAAATACTACTGTGGCAACTGGTAATGCACAATAGATGAAAGACTTGGGTTTTGCTTTGCTTTGACATTTTGCATATGTGTATATTTTTAAATTCTGAAAACCATGAGGACATTTCAAGTTATGACAAAAGGAGGTGAATGTCACACATGAGAACTTTGCAGTATCCCAATCTATACCACACAATTCCTAGAGAATACTCAATTTCCAAATCAAAATTCTAATGAGCCACCAATTATGCATTCCTCATTTTTTAGAGGTACAATTTCCCTTGTCTGAACCATGGAGCCTAATTTGCAGAAGCACTGAGCAAGTGCAACTGAAGTCAGCAAAAGCTTTCTGTGCTGTCTCTGTAACACAATACAATACACCTTTAGAAAAAAAATAAAATACTCATTAATGGAGTTCCTATCTTGTGACTGTTAGGGAAACAATTTTACAAGAGAACAGAATAGGAGTGGACACTAAGAAAGGATTTTCAGAAGCATGCAATCATTTTACCAATTAGTTCAGGGAGAGCAGAGTAAGAGAGTAAGAATACGAACCCCAGAATACAACCTGATGCTCAAAAATTGAACAGGCAGCGTTGCAACTTTCCCTAACAGAAGGCACTTGCAAGTCTTAATTTACTTGTAGTCCCACTGGGGAAGGTAAGTTAGTTAAAGGTTTAATGCGTGTGTGACAGTGACAGGACAATGGAAAGTATAACCTAAATCAGTGGTTCTCAACCTCCTCAGGCTCAAGGCACCCTTTGGAAAATGTCAGTGCTTAGATTTCATTCAACTAATAGAGTAATTCTTCTATTACAAGGATCTCAGAAAAACCACAACAGGTCATGGCTGTTTTTAACACTATGGATTCCCATTTGAAATCTCTGATTTTACCTTATGAATCATGTTTGCATACCTAGCAGTACTAATGTTGCATGGCACCTCATGGCAGCCTTGAAAGGATCTCAAGGCACGCAAAGGTGCTGTCACATCCTGGTTGAGAATCATTGACCTAACTTATCTGAAATCAGGTCATGTACCCAACATTTGTAACAAGGAAAAACTTTTTCAGTTGTCTAAACTTCCATTTGCTAAATCTACCCAATCTTCTACTGACATAGAATCATAGAACAATAGGGTTGGAAGGGACCTCAAAGTCATTTCATCCGACCCCCTGTTCAAAGCAGGACGATGTCCAACTATATCATTCTAGCCAAACTTCAGATAATGAAGTTTGTTCTGTATTAGGAGGAAAAAAAGGGAACAAATCCCCACCATTTTCAATATGACAGAGATATGAAGTTCTAGTGAGGTTGCCTAACTAATCCAGCAAGTGTACATTTATAACAACTGATGGAATGATTGAATTCATGGAATTATATAGTAACTGAAAAGGGTTTGTTGATTTGGAAGATTTTTGACTGACTCTTTATTTTGTGGATTTTTAGAAGGAAAACAGACAAACTTTTTTACAAGGAAATGTTGTAAATGAAACAGCCAACAATAGGAAAATGGAAACACACACCATTTGTTTAAAAAATAATACCTTAAGCCTAAACAAAAGATGTTTGAGTTTCTAGAGACTACATTTAAACTAAGAATTCTTTGTTCATGGAATTGGGTATCCAGGTTGTAGCCATATTGGTTTAGAGGAAAAAGCAATCCAGAAGCATAGTAGAGGTGATACCTTTTATTAGACCAACTAGGTTTTTGCAACCAAAAAAAAATTCTTTAATTGCAATTTAATCTTTTCTCTGATGCCTGATGAAGGGTGTTTATGCCCAAAAGCTTGCAATTAAAGATTTTTTTTTGCAAAAATCTAGTTGGTTTAATAAAAGATATCACTTTTACTATGAGTCCTGACTGCTTGTTCATGGAATTACATGAAGAATCCTTTTTCATAGTCATAGATGCTAGGGTGAGAAGGGACCTCAACAGATCACAGAGTCCAACCCCCTGCCTGGGCATGAAAGAGTGCTGGGGTCAGATGACCCCAGCCAGATGCCTAGCCAGC